GCAAAGGGGGAGATAGAAGAAGAGAGAGATGGGGGAGTTTACCTGATCCAAAATGCCCACTGCAACCTTGCTGACAGAAGCAGCAAGAGCTATAGATGCCAAGCTCTGAGGAATCTATGTTGCCTGTGTTGCCAAGTGGTCTCAGCCAGAATAAAGAGGCTCAATAGAGAGTGTGAGAGCCTCCACAGAGAGGGAACTCTCTCTCTCTTTCCCAGGTTTTGGTGTCAGATGTAACAAACAGTGCAAGACAGAGACTGCTGGACAGTCTTTTGTGAAGGCAGCCAGGCATATGATTAAATACCTGGATACAGGCAGACAGAGAGTGAAAAGACCATCTATGGCGAAAACGAAAAGCAGGCTTCTTTAGAGAGCTTAAAAGAAAGCAAGGAGCTTTCTTTTAAGAAGCACAAGTGTCTGCCTAGCAAGCATGTGGTTGCAAGTGTGGTACCCAGTGGGAGAAATAAAAGAAGTCTCAAGAAAGCAAGGGATATTAGATAAGAAGGCCACAGCAAACGCCAGTGGTCAGAGTTGTCAGAGGCTCACTCTTCAGAGCATCTGGTAGATGCATGGATCTTATCAGATGTCCTGGTTCATGGAAGATTCCACACTCTAGTTGATATCTTCTTTTGCAATATCTTGAGTTTGTCAAGAGTAACAGAACCGGTGCTGTTACTGGGTTTTTCCTGAGAACAATGCTGCTGTTTACAAACTACATGGGGACTATGAAAGTCCTCCCTGAGTTGAGCCTGACACATTGATTTTTCAGGAATTGTTTCTTAGATTTTAAATTGCAAGAAGTATGCATTTCTATACACATTTCAGAAAAAAATCCTCCAATCTTAATATGAAACTCTTTTATATCAAATTTTAAATTAATATCCAGTTTCTAGGTTCCTGTGTGTGGAATAGTCCTTTGACACAGAGTAAGAAATTAAGGAAAGTTTTCTATATACACATAGATGAATTTAACATAAAATATATATATGCTCTATAACATGTTTGTAACTCTTATTATGTTTAATGTATAAGATTAGCAACTCTACAAATCAAAATAAAGTTTAAAGAATAAGAAATCAATGTAAGCGATATAGCTCAGTTGCACAAAGCCTGCCTGGCAAGCGAGAAAGTGTGAGATCCTGAATTCAATTCTCAGTACAACAAACAAGAATGAGAGAGAGAGAGAGAGAGAGAGAGAGAGAGAGAGAGAGAGACCGAGAGAGAGACAGAGAGACAGAGAGAGAGACAGAAGAAAGAAAGAAAGAAAGAAAGAAAGAAAGAAAGAAAGAAAGAAAGAAAGAAGAAAGTGTAAAGAAAAGGAAATTAAAGCAATATTTACCCTTACTCACATGGCTCCACAGTACAATATACAACAGCAACTGGTGATCTGTTTCCTTGTTCTCTTGAAGCAGTTTCTTTTCTCTATGGTTTCGGATCAAAGACATCCTGTTTTTGAGAAACATAACAAATTCAAAATCCTGGAAAACTTACTGATTATTTTGCAAGTAATGATATGCCAATTTGTCAAAATTTCTCTGAAAATGATAAAACTATAGAAGTGCAGCCGCACTGTCAAAACAAGTTTGATAATGGGCTATTCCGTTACACAGGGAATCACCGACTTGGCTTTTGAAAGATAATCCAATAAATTATTAACATTCAAAACTGGAGGATTACATGCTTGAGTTCTTCTGGGCCACTTAGAAAGACCCTGTCTCAAATTAAAAAGTTACCAGGAACGTAGCTCAGTGGTAGAACACTCCTGAATTCAATTCTAATGATTGTAAGAAAAAAAATTACTGCATGATGATTTTCCTAATTTATTTCTGTATATGGAAAATCGGCATATTCTTCATCTACAAATCTTAGAATCAGTTATTTTTATATGAGAAAAAACAGAAATAATACTAAATTAATTATACTGATATACAAGTGAATAAAGTGATAAATCATAGGAATCATTAAGTATCTTAAGACTGATCAGATATTCTTTAAATGGCATTAACACTGTTATAAATAGACACTTCTCCTAGTCTCTTGACTTTAAAATATTTTGATTCATTGGAAATTCTTTGAAAAATTTAAATGAATTTTAATAGCCAAGCAAAATATGAGTATATAAAAATATGTGTTAGATTTGGCATATTTACTTTAGTTGAACCAATAGAAGCTGAGCTTAATTTATCTCTTTTAGCTATTTACACATTTCAAGTTAGTAAGACAAGTGTCAAAGGTCCATTGTATGACATCAATGGAACACGGTCAAGGTATATTTTGGTTTTATTTTTGTTCTTAAAAAATAAAATTATGTGGTGAATATTAGAACTCAGAATGTTAGGAAAGGTGGTGAAAGCTAAGTAAACAAAGTGAGATTAAACATAGAAAGTGTCAAACTCCGTAAGGCTACAGGTCTGTCATTTATTAAGCTACAGGCATTGGGATAATGACGTGAGGCTCCCATTTTAGTTCACGCGCTGCTTATCATAAGTACGTTTCTGAGAATCTCTTCTGTTGTATCCTACTTGAACAGTAATATCACTTTCTCTGTGCACACAGGCTTTGTTACTCCTAAGATTTCAGCACTCATAGTGACCAACAACCTTTGCAGGTCCACGATGATAATTCTAGTTTCACTGAAGTTAAATAAGAAAATGATTTGTATAATCACTAGAGAAACTTATCTCTGAATTCTTACCTGAGTACCTGGTTTTTTAATATATTATAATCTTAATCATGTGCAAACGTATAGAAGACTGCAAAAATATTTTGACCTGTTGGAATCAGTTGCTTTAGACGTAATTTAATTCGTCAGTTGGCTGATTAATTTCTCTTTTATGAATCACTAAAATATTTTGCTTTCATAATAAAGTAAGTATCTTGTTTAATGCCCAGCTGACTGATAATCATATATGTCCCAAATTTTTCTCATTTGTGTGGGAGCTTTGAGCTTTCTCAAAGATATATATTGGAAGATGTATATATCTTCCTATTTCACTGAGAGAAATGTTTATAGCATCCATTATAATCCTATACATGTATATCATTGTATAAGTCTGGATAAAATAATACATAGGAAAAATCAGCATTTTCTGTAGTAGAACAGAAACACTCAGAGCACTGTAACTTAACATGAACATCTTCAAATACAGCAGATGTTCTAGAGACTATAAATTAAGCCATTTGGTCTAATTTAATTATCTTGCACTGTTTCATGATCACTAGCTGGATCTGTGTCTTTATTACCTTATTGGAAATTTTGATTTGAACTTAGGAAAAATAATAGCATAATTTAGAGAGAAATCAAGTAAACCTAATTTCAGTGGGAAAAACATTCTTTGGTTATATTATTTTAATTACTTTGAGATTATTTTATTCTAACTAATCCAAGTTGCTGTGTTTCCTGTAAAAGGTGTTTCATTGTTAAAGCTATGATTCTTTTTAGGTCATATATTCATTCTTTGCCAGCTCATGAATCAGAACAGACTTGGCCCTACTGCAGTAATAAGCAATTTAAAAAATTCGGCGGTTTAACAAATTAACGGTATGAGTCTCACTCAATTAGTTTGCAGGGCTAACAGAGCTTCCACCACCTGGAACACCACCAATCACAATGGCAGAAAGAAGTTAGCGAGCTACTCAATAGCTCCTAAAACATAATTCTAATTGCAAGGGTCCAGGGAAATATCAGGATACTGGAATAGTGATGAACAAGTTAATGACTCCTACAGTTCATCCTTCTGATCATATATTAATTCAGAGCCCCTTGACCCTCATTGTCAAGCAATCCTCACAGTCACGTGAACCATCTTAATATTACTGCATAGATAAAGGGAACAAAGCTAGGTGCCTTATTCAAGGTGTGAAGCAAAGATCACTCAAATGAGAAAGATGGAGGCTATTTGTACATTCAGAACTTGATGTGGCCAAAGAGAGAGCTCCCTCCCTCTCACTGGCAGGCAGACCATAGTGACTCCTGTACACTGGACATCATGGAAGGCTGCAGGTGAACTCCAGGACAGGTCTGCCTTGGAAAAGTCAGGGGTGGCCAAGTGGGAGCTGCTATGCAGTTGGCTGGGGAGATGCTCAGCTTTCTATGGTTAGTGTGAAGTTGAAACTGGTGGGGAGCATAGGAAAGCCTGGATGTCCCGACCCCGTGAGCCTCTGCTGCAGCTCTGTATTTCTGTCCCTGAAGCAGCCGCAGCACTGGGTGCGGGTCAGGTTTCTGCCGTACTGCACGGTGCAGCCTTTTCACCATTCTGCCACTTACCATTCAGGCTGCCTACATCTCATGCTCATTTTCAAGAGTCATTGGCCTGAGCAAGTCACAGCTTTAAAAGTATAATGTATCTTTATATAAATTCCTTAGTGAAAGACAGTTCTAGCAGTGAATTCCATTTAAACTTATGTTGCTTTATTTTAAACAAATTTTCTTTGTCCCTAATATACATATTCTGAGGGCATAGAGAAATTATATTTTCATACTCAACAGTCAGTGTTAAACTACCATAAGGAAAACTTTGGAAATTTTCTATATGTTAAACACATTACATGGATCTATAAACAACTGCATGTGTATTATTATCTTGTTATACTATATGTGAACTCATATATTTGTACATGTATATGGACTTGTAAAATACATAATATAAATACATACTCTTATATCCACAATCATGTGTAAATTAAAAACATTTAGTACATTGTTGTTTATAATCATTCATTTTATCATTTTGGCTGAGAAATAAATCATCAGACAGTTGAGTTTGAGATGGAGTATTCATAGTACAGTCCATTCATAGTACATGTGTACTTTCACCGTGTGAATTTACTGTCTTTAGTAAAAATCTACAATACTTAGTCTAATTTTTACACTTTTATAAAGTCAGTCAACCACTTGGGAAATTTTTATTTAGAATTTTAATGAAAAGTTAAAAATTATTCCATTTTTATGTACTTTGTCATTTAATGTGAATCACAGAACAGCAAAAACAATGGAAAGCATTATACTTCCTGGCAGGGGAGATACCATGATCAGGAAGGTGCTTTTCCTGGGGCGAGGCTTTTCCATTTCACTCCAAATATGCTGACCCTGTGATTTTCCCAAATGTGGGAAACTCAGCTACATAATTTGTGGTAGTGGAAGGCTTCATTTATGTTCTACCACTAAAATAAAACAGAAAAAAATACAAAGCATTTTCAGAAGTAAATAAAATCTAAAGCTTTATTTACCACATTACAGAAAACAGGTCCATCTTGAGACCATATTAGGTGAAATAAATCAGGAGCACAAGCTTAAATATTACATAGTTCCGCTTATAAGACAACCCACAACTATAAATAAAATGCAAAATAAAAGGTTTATAACAGGGAGCAGGGAGACAGATCTTTCTTAAATGGTAAGGGCATTAAAAGTTGAAAAGAGCAAAAATTGGGAACAGAAGGGGCTGAAAAACAGAATTAAGATGTGTTATGTACATTTACCTACTCCCCAAGAGAAATATGATCAGTGTATACTGCAAACATATACTAATAAAGATTTAAAAAGAAAGTTTCTAAACTAGGAAATGATGATGTACATACTGAATCTAAAGCTGTGATATTCAAAGGGTATTAATAACGTAACTCTAAGCTATTTCGATGCTCATTATCCCCAAGAGCACAGCGCCTACTTTATATCTAATACTGCAGACATCAGGTGGAGTGCTGTCTTACAATTTCATTACCCTGGCCTCTCATCAGTGCCAGCCTGCTGGCTCTACCTTTTCTTCTGAAGGTCTCACTGCTAGGGACTGTCATGCATTCTTCTAAACCCAGTCCACCCACTGTGGTCCTACTCCATACACCTGTCTGAGAAGGACATGTGTTATGTTTGGTCCTTTTTATCTGTAGCCATTCTCTCTCTGGAAACCTTCAACTTTTGTTTCTAATCTCAAAATTGATGCTTTCCAATAAAGATCACTGGGAAACCTGTTTAAGAAGCACACACCAGAGGCACTAATCACATAAGCCCTGACTTAAGGCCTCACAGGAGGTGCCTAAGCACAAGATGATTCCTTCCCCCTGATTTAAACTCACCCACAGCATACTTGAGATGTCTGTGTGGGCTTTCACGAGGCACTAAAATGAAACGTTTCCCAGAGAGTGCACTACAGTTGCTGAGATGCTTTTCCCATATTCTCTGGTTCTTTCCTTCTCTAATTTTATGACATTCTTATTGACGTTGCCTTCCCCATATTCCACAATATGTGGTCTTTATTCATGTTCATCCCTCATATTATCTTCCAAAGCAGGAATCTTTCCATTGCCAATTGTTTCCCTTAAACATCCATTTACTAGGGATTCCATCCCAACGACGCCTTTTTCAGGGGTCTACCCTGCTCTCTAATGATTTTGCCTTTTTAACCAGCACTGGAATATGCTTATTATCTACGTATGCTCTTGATTTTTACTAATCTACTGTCTTTCTGCCAGCAATATCACACAAGGTGTTGCAAGTAAGGATCGTATTTGTTTTCTCTACACCGTGGACTCACCGTTGGACACAGAGAAGGGAGACAGTCAGTCACATCTGAAGGGAGAAAAAAGGAGACAGAAAGGGCAGAAGCAGGGCAGAAGGAAGAAAGACAAGAAGGCAAAGGAGGGAACCATACTCAAAGCTTGTCCTATATTTAAGCATCTCTCATACTTCTCTCTCACATGCTAATTTTATCAGGCTGCTTAGAGGTTTAAGCCCACATAGTTAAGTAATTTGTTTAAGTAGTTATCATTCCTTTTATATGTGGAATAGTAGATAAAAATAGCAGGGAAACTTTTCCTCTACAAGTATAAAGATTTGAGTTGTCTTGCCCAGCGGTGCAGGGCAGGATTACTACCTGCTCAGAATTTAAATTGATCTTGAATATAACCTCAATAGAGGGTTTAAGCCAGATGCAGGTTTCATAGTAACCTGCTAGACACAAATAAAGCAAAATTTAATTATACCAGAAATAAGAGGTCCTATCCTGAGTATCACAGAGAAATCTGTATATATTACTCTGAATGATCAATTATACTTTTTGAAGACGTTCTTGTTACTGGTAATCACATATATCACACAGTTAACTGTGTTAACAGTTACGTACAGTGCTCTGGTTTTCCTAAGAAGGAAATGTCACAGGAGAAGGTTTGTAAGTTGGATTTGTTTGGAAGTTCAATAAATTGAGTCTTACACACTTCTGATGCAAATATACAATGTAAAGCATAAAAACATCGACTCACACAAATAGTGTAAATAAACTACATTCACTTTATAGTTGTCTTAATTGGTGCAGTACATCCCTGAGATTGTGTGTTTATTTCTTTGTGCTTCCCATAGGGCCCTCCACATCTTCACTGCTCTTCCTCTGGCTGCTGGACATCCTGGGCTCTGACTGAGCTGTGTACTACCGCACACTACTGCACTGTACACATACACAGCAGCACAGCGGTGGCAAGGTCTGGGAGACCTGTGAGCTACGAACACAATTTGTTCCCACCTACGAATGTTCCTAATGTGAGGTCCATATGTAACTGTGAAAGTTCACAACTCTGATGTCTGGAAAGATAGGGACTTACTGTAATCCCAAAGTATAAGCCTCAAGGAAAATATGTGCATTCCAAAAGGGGAAAGAGATTAAAAGGAAAGATTTGGAACAAAGAAAGAGAGGGCAAACTTCAAATCTTTTAGCTCAATGTCCAGCATCCACTGTATATGTTGGTTAAAAAACAATCCCTTGCTGGGGTTTTAGCTCAGTGACATAAGCACCTGCCTAGTAAGCACAAGATCATGAGTTTGATCCCTGTTACAAAATAATAATAATAATAACAATAATAATAATTCCATATCCATGGCCTTGCAGGATATAATGTGCCTTATTTCTCTTTTGGGCTGGCACCACTCATGGCCTGAACCATTTTTGACTGACGTTTTACATTCCTGGCATCCTCAACTACCTGAGGTCTCCACTGTACCATAGAATTCTTTTTTTTTTTTTTTTTTTTTTGTAGTGGGGATCAAACTCTCAACCTTGTGCTTGCCAGACAGGCATTTAGGCCACTGAGCTAAATCCCCAACCCTGAATTTCATTTTCAAAACTTTACGCACTGCCCTCCCAGGAGCTCCTTTGGCTGGAATCTCAGGCCTTCCTTTGAAATCTAGATGGAAGCCTCCTTGATTTTATGACTCTTGCATTTTGTATGCCAGTAATATCAGCGTAATTTTGGATGAAACCAAAATTTTCTGTCAGCAAAAGAAGTGGCTTGACTGCCTTGGACAATTCCTGTATTAGTGACCTCTGAGTATCTAAACAGCTGAGCACGAAGTGATGAATCCTTCACTAAGAAGGCCTTCTTGAATAGTGGTAGACATTTCACAATCTAATGAAGTCAACTTATCAGAAATAATGTTGCTATATACAACAGAAACATCTGAGATGATCAACTGATGAAGAGAAAAGCATTTTGGCTCATAATTTCTGAGATTTCGGTCCATCATTGGTTGACCTATTGCTTTTGATTCCATGGAGAAGGAGCATATAGTGGAGGTACAGCATGGCAAAGGAATCCTTCACTTAGCAGCCTGAAGTGAGAGAGGCAAAGGAAGGAGCCGAAGTCTGGCTGCCTCTTTGAAGGGCATATCTCAGTGATCAGAAGACTTGGTACTCATCCTCATCTCTTAAAGACTCTGTTTCTTCTCAGTACCACCCTGGGCAAGCGAACAAGCTTCCAACATATGGGCCTTGGACACACATTTTGTACCATAAAACTATATGAAAAACCTTTAGGGCGTACCCATTCACTGTTAGTTACTGTAATTCAATTTGGTGTTCTTGATTTACTATATCTGACTCTTACCATGTGTATTTTAAGTTTTCTGTAATAATCCATACAACATTATTCTCCTTTTCTAGATTTTGTTATTTTTCATTGTGCAATATTCTTTTCCATTTTAAATAGTAATTACTATGATTTTAACTGTACTATGTGTTAATAGTCATTCTTTTTTATAATTCTCCTAAAGTCTTTGTAATAAAGAAGTCACAATGTTAATTCTATACACTGGTTACAGCTTGCATTTATATTGTCAATCTTATTTTTGAAAAAGATTTGTGCTAAACTTTATCCATCCTTAAAACTCTATCCCATCTATTTAGTCTAATTTGCAACTTATGGTAAGGAATTGGTATCTTGTGATTTAGTCCTTCCACATAAAGATATTTTATTATTATATGTTTATTAATGTATCAAAGAATAACAAGAAAATAATTAAAATACCTGCTAAATAAAGATTCCCAAAATTAGTATACATTATTAAATGAGCAAATGTGACAGGCATAATACTGAAATTATTTTATATATTTATAGTCATATATAATTCCTTAAATATATTATACTATCTGTTTAAACTGAAAATACATTCATATTCATTTTTCTTTTAGTATCATTCATTCTTTCAGAAACCTTATTAGGAGATGACTGACATAGTTCAAAATGGTACTTATAGCTATCCATTTACTGTTTTCATATAGTTTTGGTCAGTATGTACCACAGATGAGCTCAAACTATTTATTTCACTTAAAATCAGGTTCTGGTCTACTATGGTGAATGCTAGTTGCTGATGACGAAGGCATTTCAGAGACTGTTTACCACCTAAGGAAACTCACCTAAGGAAAAACAGAGAAAGGTTTGCCAGGTGATTTAGAGGAAGCTAATACAATATATTGGGGGAGGGAGCATTTATCAATCTTTCTATTGCTAAGACAAAAATAATTAACATTCACAACATAAAGAAGGATTGATTTCTGTCTGTTGCCCAGTGAGTTCCAAGGTGGAAACATGGCAAAAGGGCAAACTGAAACACAGTGAACATCTCGCAGCAGCTGGGAAACAGAGCACAAGGGAAGCACACCAAAGAGGAAGGAAAAAGAGATCAGAAACAGTCCACTGTGGTTTGTGTCTGGATGTCCCCCTAAATCCTCATGTGGTTATGGGAATGGGCTTTTTGCAGATGGCAGAATCTAAAGTGTGTGATGGGTTCATGGTCTAATGCCTGGGTTAAGCGTGTGAGTGCTGTATCCATCCTAACCTGGGTAGACTGCATAAAATATAAGAGATGAAAGAGGCTTGTTCTCCCCTCCTCTCTTGTTG